GTAAAAGCTGAGGACAGGGTTACCATTGTATGAAAAGCAGGAGTGAGATTAGGGAAGATCCCATAAGAACCTCAAAAATCTTGGTAATACGTTAGTTCTTAATAGGTGGGTTAATGGTTGTTCACATTATTATTATGCTCCATAATTTCTATATTCCATATCTGTATATGTGTGTGCTATAAACCACATGTTTCATATTTTTTTAAATTTTAAGATGAAAAAATTTAAAAATACAATGAATCGATTTTCAAGGCCAAGAAAATCAATAGGGAAAGGACAGTCTTTTTAGCAAATGGTGCTGGAACAAGATATACATACAGAAAAAAAAATAAACTCAATTCCTACCATTACATCCATGAAAATCTGCAATGGATTATAGACCTAAATGTAACATAAGAGAATATCTTTGCAACCTTAGGGTAGGCAAAGATTTCTTAGGCAGGATAAAAAAAAAAAAAAAAGCACTAACCATAAATGACAAACTGATAAAAGTGAACCTCACTGACATTAAAAACATCTGCACATCAAAAGGCACCTTTCAGAAAATGAAAATCCGAACCAATGATAAGGAAAATGTTATTTTACTTATAAATATATGTATATATACGACATTTTTATCAAATACATATATGTAGGGGCGCCTGGGTGGCTCAGTCGTTAAGCATCTGCCTTTGGCTCAGGTCATGGTCCCAGGGTCCTGTGATCGAGCCCCACATCGGGCCCCTGCTCAGCGGGAAGCCTGCTTCTCCCTCTCCCACTCCCACTCCCCCTGCTTGTGTTCCTGCTCTTGCTATCTCTCTCTCTGTCAAATAAATAAATAAAATCTTAAAAAAAATACATATATGTATATATATGTGTATATATGATGGCGGACTTGTATCCAGAATATATAAACAATTCCTACAACTCAATAATAAAAAGAAAACAAGTCAATACAGAAATAGGCTAAAGTCTTAAACATATATTTTCACAAAAGAGAACATACAAATAGACAATAAACATATGAAAAAGTTCTCAATCATTAATCATCAGGGAAATGCAAAATTAAAACCACAAAAACATTCAATTTCACACCTACCAGAAAGGCTAAAATTAGAATGACTGGAAATACCAAGTGTTGAAGAAAATGTGGAACTGGAGGTAATATACTGCTGCTGGCGGGAGTGTAAAAATGACACAAGAACTTTGGAAAACTTTTTGGGAAACTGTTCTAAAGTTAAAAATACCCTAAGCTTATGACTCAGAAATCCCACTCCTACTATGTATTTACCAAAGAAAAATGAAAATATGTCCATAAAACTAGTTGTATGAGAATGTTCATGTAGTTCTATTCACAACAGCCCCAAACTGGAAGCAATGAAAACGTCACGCAAGTGAATGGATAAGTAAGTTGTGGCTTATTCATCCAATGGAATTCTACTCAACAACAACAGAAAAGGAACAGACATGCCAAAATATATGTATCTCAAATACATTATGTTGATGAAAGTAGTCCCAGATAGTTCATATTCTATGACTCCATTTAAATGTAGTTTCAGAACTACATTTCTAAACTAGAGTGATAAAAATGAGTACATAGTGGGTTGGGCAGGGAGGATGGGCTCCAATGGATAGAGAAACATAGTAAATTTTTGGGAAGAGTGAAAATGCTCTATATCTTGATTGGGGTGGTGGTTGTCACATGGATGTTTACATGTATCAAAACTCAACAAACTACTCACTTAAAATCAGTGCATTTTAATATATGTACATTTTATCTCATAAAAATATAAAAAAGTGAAATAAAATTCAGATACTATGAGAAAGGAAAAATTTTAAATGAGTGGTTGGAAGTTAAATGATTACCAAGTTATATAGAAATGTTGGAAAATAAAGTTGAGACAACTGCTCAGAATATAGAACAAAAAGCAAATAGATAAAAACATAAGAAAAAAGGTAATAGACCTAATGAGTCAAACCAAGAATCCAAGAACCACCTTATAGGAGTTTCAAAAAGAAAACAGAGAAAAATAAAGGAGAATAAATTATGAAAGACAGAATAGGAGAAAATTCCCCACAGCTGAAGGGTAACATGTACTTCAAATTAAAAAGGCTTATGATATTAAGGAGGATAAATGAAAATACCCACACTGAGACATTTTATCCTAGCTCCTTTCAATGAGTTCACTGCAAGATGAATAAACTCACAAGACATGTCATCATAAATTTTCAAAGCATCATGCAAAACTAAAATTTTTTAATCACTCCAGAGAGAAAACAAATAGTTTACGCATCAACAAGTTGTAAGACTGTCATTCTCATCATTTCATGAGCAATAGTGAAAGTTAGAGGACAACAAAGCCTTGAAAGACTTAAAGAGACATAGTTCTGTTTCTATATCCTACCAAACTATTAGTCATAATAGCAAAAATAATTTACAGCCCTATGAACATTACAAAATAAAATTACCATCCACATACCTTTTATGAATAAGTATCCTTAGGATGTATTCTACCAAAAGAGAGGAGAAAAACAAAAAACAGAATATGTGTGGTTAAGAAACAATGTAACTTACCAGAATGTAATCTGTTCAAATTAAACAGAAAGTGATTGGGCTTCAAAGGGAACATCTTCAAGCAGAGAAATGGAATGGAAGCGTCTCATACAAAGAATGAGAGGACATGGTGAAGAAAGCATGTGATGGGAGGACTTTGTGAAAAAAGCACATGTACCTTTCCCCCAAAAGTAAACAGAAAGTCCTTTGTAAAAGTAAGGAAGGTTAAAAGCTATATAGGAAGTACCCAATCCAAAAAATAAATCACACTTAACTATGGCATAATTTTTTGTCATCATAGAGGAAGAAAGAAGTCAATTTGATGTTAATATTATAAGTCTTCTCCTTAGTGCGGCATAGGGGTCATGAAATGAAGACAATGGGAAGGAAATGTATCATGGCATACTTTTTGGCCCTGGATTTAGGAATATTTACAAAGCCATAATATTGTAACATTTTACTGTTTTTTAGCACACAAAAAAGCAAAAAAATTGTAGTTAAGAAATACAATATAGATATTATTAACCTTGACAATGTATAAGTAAAGGTCCAGATAAGGGAAGGTGGGAGTGGTGGATGTAGTTTCTGCAGTGGTAAAGAAGGTAGAGTCATTACTTTCCTCATTTTACCAAATAAGGAGCCCAAATATATTTTTGAAAATTGACATGAAAAAATAATTTTTATATATTATTTAAAATTATAACATTAACCAATATGAAAAACTAAAAATTGTAATAAGTAATTAAAACTTTGGAGAAGAGAGGTTGGGGATAGTGTGGGTTATCTTAAGAATTAAAAAAAAAAAGAATGGGCATTTTAACTTATTATTCAACATATAGACCTAAAGTTAGAAAAGATTAAAGGTGGTCATTTCTGACGAAGAGGACTAAGGGTAGGAAGGGGGACACTAAACTGTTGCATTTTATTATTCAATCCTTCTGTATTATGCTGTTTGACTTTCAATTAGACAGCCTCTATCAGACAACTGAAAATCAAATAACCAAATAAAGAAAATGCAAATTATTCAAAAGGATAAGATACTAGTTAGCATAAAACATTTCATCAATATTCCACTTCAACTACTTCCTAGATGGGTGCACATAAAAAGGTTCATATGTACAAAATATACACATAGATTTGTTCACATTTGGTGAGTGGAAGAAAGCTACTGAAAAAAAAAAAGCTGAGGTGAGAGATTAGTTGAGTAAAAACAATGTAAGCAGAGGGGTTTGAAAATTCATTCATTCAACAAATATCTTGAAGCTGTTTGATGTCAGGTGTTTTCCCAGCTGCCTGGCCAAGGACAGTGACTAAGACACAATCCCTGCCCTCAAAGAACTTTGAGTCGAAATGAGAAGGGGGGGGTTGATGCTGATTTCATCATGAATAGTTCACACATTTCTTCAACGGGCGAATAATACTAGTTCATTTATTTTATATACATTCCCTCAAAAAAGTTGTCTTTCTGTCCCAAATAAAAACAGGAACCAAGGGGCCTTAAAAAGCAACCACTGACAATTCCAATTGTTCACATTCTCCCGCTCCCCAGGGAATGTTACATCTCGACAACTGACTAAACCTTTGAAACCAGAAACAAAACCAAGACTTTATATCTATGGTAAGTAACGGAGAGCTGATTCCACATTCTCTAGCCTCTTCTTTAAACCTTCCTTTGAAGCAGTGATGCAGTGGTTACTCTCAAATGGCTGCCCACAGTTCCCAAAGGACTCAGGTCAACTCGTTTTGGGGGGGAGGGGGGGCGGGAAGGCGGACATTAGCTAAGGCTGCGCACAGTCCTCAGCAGCAAGCAGCTCCACAGGTTGGCTCCCCTTACTGTGGGACAAGCCGGGCCACTGGCTGCACTTGACTTTCCTCTACCTCCCACCAGCCCCACCCACTACCACACACAAAACTGACAAACCCAAATACCTGCCTCTGAGTGTGGGGACGCAGGCGGCCACAAACACAAGGGGATGGAGCTTCTACACAGGGCCCCAGCTTGTTGCTGTGGCTGCTGCCGCGGCCGCTACTGCTTAGTGTACCAGACCCTGCATTTCAGCTGCTTCTACAAAAGAAGCCGCTCCTCGAGCGCCGGAGTTGCCCTTTGCCCGCTAGCTAGAATCCGCCGAAATTTCCAGCTCGGAATCTGGCTAGGAGCGTGAGTCTGACTCTCTCCACTGACAGCTCCCAGCTCTCCCCGCCCCACCCTTGATTCAGCCGGGCCATTTCCTCTGACCTCACAACTTCCACGACACAACGTTGAGGAAAGACCCAGACGTCCAGCGTTTTGCCCCTTGCCCAAGCTGGTGACAAAATGTAGACACCAAGGAAGAAGTGCAGGGGGATTGGACTTATTGGTTAAGGAAACAGAAGACGGAGAGCGTGGTGTGGCTGCGCACAGGAAGGGGGAGACAGAATTTGGAGTTAAATCGGTGGAACGCTCAGGCGTTTGCTGGGGACACCTCGTTGGGTCCTTTCTCAGTGCTGTCGTGTGCGGGAGCGTGTTCCCAACTGCTCCGGCCTGAGGCTGCCCGAGGGTGGCTCCGCAGGTTGCTCTGTCCACCGATTCATGTGAGTGACGCCCACCGAGGGTCCCGGGTAGGCTGGTTGAGTTCGAAGGAGTCCCCCTTCCCTTACTCGACTTGGCGAGATGGGACCTGGCCTGCCGAAACTAGTGGGAAATACGCTCATCCCAACACCAGGCTAGAATTTGAATTCATTTCCTTAATACATGCCTCGTAAATAAATAAATAAACAAACAAAAAAGAAACATTCACGAAAAGAATAGTTTTAGGTCTGTTTTCTATATTTTGGCAAAGGTTGCAAAAACACCCCTGGAGTTATTGCCGGTTACCACTGCTATATAATTTGAGTATCTCTGGGACTCATTGTTCTCAGAATATTTAATCTTTATTATTTACCTTTTTAAAAATTCTGACTTTTGACACGTGTTTTAAATCCTAGTAGGAGTTTTAAGATAGTTCTAAAAAGTACCACGTTATGTAGCATGGTAATAAAGATGCTCTCCATATGGGGTGATTTGGCAGGTTACGAAGCAAATGGAGGAACGAAGATTGGAAGGTTAGATTAGGAATTGACGGTGGGGGGAGAGAAAAAAGTGATTAAAATTACTATAGTTTATTGGGCGCCTGGGTGGCTCAGGTGGTTAAGCGACTGCCTTCGGCTCAGGTCATGATCCTGGAGTCCCGGGATCGAGTCCCGCATCGGGCTCCCTCCTCGGCAGGGACTCTGCTTCTCCTTCTGACCCTCCCCCCTCTCGTGCTCTCTCTCCCATTCTCTCTCAAATGAATTAAAAAAAAAAAAAAAAAAACAAAAAAAAAAATTACTATACTTAATTAATCCTGATGTACATGCTTTTCTCATATTTACTTTTCTGAAATTGTCATGCATTTTATAATTGTCTTAAAATCACTATGAGCTAAGTGGCACTTGTGACATAGTTGTCAGTGGCCCTACTTGTGCATACTTGGTCATAACTGTCAATATTGTCATCAGTTCAGTTATGTGTAGTGTTAGTATATAGTAGTTGACTTTAATCTCCATTTTAAGTATCCTTTATATGATGAATTACCATTAAAGTGAAAAGTTAATGTGTATGCAGAAATATAGGGAAACAAAAGAGTTATATAAGATAAAAATAGGGCTAAATTTAAAAGAGATTTTTCAAATAATACAGGATGTGTGCTTTTTTTCTTTCTTTTCTTTTTTTTTTTTTTTTTAAGATTTTATTTATTTGACAGAACGCAAGAGAGGGAACACAAGCAGGGGGAGTAGGAGAGGGAGAAGCATCTTCCTGCCGTGCAGGGAGCCCGATGCAGGGCCCTATCCCGGAACCCTGGGATCATGACCTGAGCCGAAGGCAGATGCTTAACGACTGAGCCACCCAGGCGCCTGTGTGCTTTTTTCTTAATGGTACATAAAATGACAGAGCGTCTTATGATTGGAGCCATTTTACAATTGATAGCATCTTAGATTTGATGAAATACAATACTTATGGCATCTAAGAAGAATATAAACCTTTACCTAATTGAAGTTCTGAAACAGTGAAATCAGGTGTTTTGGAAAGTAGAGAGACACTTCCAAATTTTTGTAGAATTCCTATATTATAAAGGAAAATTGACAACCTGCACTTAAATCTTCCATTTCAAAATAATAGCTTATTTGTTTATATTTGGTCCCTAACATTGAAAACCTGGGGCAGGGAGTTTGCTATTTAAAAGGAATTACTGGATATAAGACTGATGAATCACTGAACTCTACCTCTGAAGCTAGTAATACACTATATGTTAATTAATTGAATTTAAATTAAAAAAAGGAATTATTGGCAATTTAGAATCAGAGTGGGGAAAGACTACTGAGGAAATTGCTGAGATAAAGGGAAGCCATTTGGAAATGACAGAAATCTCAGAAATAGCCTTTTGTATATGTTTTAATGATTAAGATGTCTAAATTCATGTATTTCATAAAATCAGCCTCAGCTTTGATTAGTGGCATCTTACAATGGCTTTTTAGGTCTAATGAAATATAATGAATATTGTGAACAAAATTAATGTTAAGAGGCAGAATAATTTAGATAATACTTTTCAAATTCTTTTTGTCATAAAAATAAAGTCATTTTTTTTTTTAAAGAGTTTTTATTTATTTATTTGACAGAGTGAGAGAGAGAGAGCACAAGCAGGGGGAGTGGCAGAGGGAGAGGGAGAAGCAGGCTCCCCGCGGAGCAAGGAGCCTGATGCAGGGCTCGGTCCCAGGGTCCTGGAATCATGACCTGAGGTGAAGGCAGCGGCTTAACTGACTGAGCCACCCAGGCGCCCCAAGGTCATTATTTTTTAATTTAGTAAAGGAAAAAAAAATCTAAACTATCCAAGAATTCTTATTATCCAGACAGAATTAACATCTCATGGACTGTTTTCTCTTTTTTTCTCTATGTGTTTTATATTTGTAATTACTGTGCGTGCAGTTAAGTATTATTTCTCTGTGTAATTTTTTTCTCTATGTAAGTGTTTTACATTTATGATTACTGTACATGCAATTAAATATGTCTGTTTTATCTCCTAATCATTAAATAAAATTTAGTGCAGATTAAGCCAGTATTCCCAAACTCTTTTAGAGGATACTATTCTAGTAAATGTTAATAGGTGTTCCTTGGTTAGGATTCTGTGGTTAAATACATTTGGAAACTCTACATAATTATGTCTTTTATAGAAATTATAGCTTGGACATTAAAAGAGCTAACTCCAGAATCAGACGGTAAGTTTTAATCCTTTTATTTACTAACTAGTCATATGACCTAAGGCAAATTAATTTTAATTCAAATTTTCTTCTGTGTATAATGGAAATAATTACAGTATTCATGGGTGATCTATGTAATGCATTCAGCCAGCCCATAATAAATACTTTGCAAATTTTATCTGTTATTGTTTTATTAACATTATCATCTGTGAGAAACCCTAAGTCTATTAGCACATTGAAAGCTCTGAGGAGACTAAGGGAACTTAAAAGAAAATTCAACAGATACTCAATGTAAAGTTGAAAATCACTATGGAGCAGTTGGCGCATAATAATGAAATGAGCACTAGGTTGAATGGTGCAAGATCTGTCTGAGCTTTAAGCTTTAAGTTGTTACTAAACTAGCACTGTTGCCCTAAACATAACCTCATTTAAATTTGTTTTTCCAATTTACTGTGTTTCCCTCATTTGTCTGAAAGCTTAGTGAGTACAAAGAACATGTTTAATTTTGCTCTTTACTATAAACCCAGCACATGGCTCAAAATCAGGAAATATAAGTAAAATTGCAGTCGTGAACTTAAATTTTTTTATAGGGGCCTGGCAGGTAGCGTAAATGGCAGACAACAGGGAGTTGTGCAGTCTGTTTTGCCTTGCTTAAAGCATTCACCTTCAGCTGTTTCAATCATTGTTACCCTGGAACACAAAGACATCCCTGATCTCTGTGGTGATAGTTTGTAATCCGTAGAAGAGACTAGAGATCAGGACCAAACTCTGAAAAACATAAGCATTAAAGGGACAAGTCAAGAAAAAAGAGCCCTAAAAGGAGGTAAAGAAGTAGGACGTGAAATCAGGTGAAACTATCCTCATTTTATAATTAAGAAAATAAAGCACAGAAAAGTTAAGTAACTTTACCAAGGTCACACAGCCTATTAAGTATGTGATTCAACCAAGATTTGTTGGTTATAGATACTGCTCTTCTGCTGGTGCTAGTGATCAATATCTGCATATTGCTAGAAAGTATGGACATAAACTTATGCATACTACTTATATTTTTGAAAGTTTAAAGACAGTTAATTAACACGTACTAGAAAACCTGTTTCCAGAGCTTCTAATTCTAAAAACAATAGCTCTTAGCATTTGGGAAAAAGTTGTGTCAACATATAGACCTGACTAGAAGCTAATCCAAAATATCTCAAAAGGCATGTTAATTTTGACATCATGAATAATATTGCCAAGATAACCAATTATCTAGGAGTAGAGAAAAAGTAGACACTGCTTAACAGCTAGTGTGTTTTATAATCATTCCTAAGTTTTATTTTGCCAAGAAAACTTGATTATTACCAGAAAAATGACTGTGCTAGCGAAAGATATTTCCTCTCTTCTTTTAATGAGGCTTCCTTTGTAGTGGTATTGCTGATATTGTGGCAGTTAAGGTAGTTACAAGTAACCTATCACTATATATGTTGTAAATGTTGGAAGGTTATTAATTATTGTGTAACCAAATAAGGACTTTGTCATAAGTAATTAGGATGTAGAGTATTTTCAGGTTTTAAATTCATACACTCTTAAGTTTGTGGTTCACTGAATTTTTTTTAAGACTTTGTTTTTTAGAGCAGGTTTAGATTTGCAGCAAAACTGAGCAGAAGGTATTTAGTGAATTTTTATTCTTTTTTTCTTTTCCTTAAACCAGAATGATTTATATCATTTTCATAAAACAGTTTTTCTCTTTGTATTCTTGGCCATTTGTATGCCTTTGGCAAAATGGTACGTATGGCTCATGCTGGATTGCTTTGCCTTCTGAGCTAGAGCTGAGAACTGTTAATATTAGTCCTTAGAAGACTTTCACAAGGCATTCAGAGTGAAATCTGCTATATGCCACGGAGTGTTCCTTCTTTGTGTACCAGTTGTTTAAATAATCTTAAGTCTATTACCTTTAGAGTTTCCATAATTATGATGACAATATCTATTTGTAGGGAAAAGTGCAAAGATTTTCCGTTGGCTGTTGTCTTACTGTATTCCCTTGGACAGGAGTCCGTGGATATATTTTGTACACTATTATAAACACAAAACTTAGAATTAATGTAAATATATTAATATTTATCACCCCTGTAGACTGTATACCATTCACAAAGAAATTAAGGTGTGGCTTAGCCAAATTACCTACTATATTTTAATATCAGTTTCCATAATTTGTATTTTTATTATTTGTTATGTTCTTGACCTTTAAGAAAATGTAAAATTCATAGCTAAGGATCTACAAAATATCATGCCCATAGGTAACCCATACTACTGTGAGCTTCTTGAAGGTGGGGATTGTACAT